GCTCTAATGCAATACTCAGAGTCCCATCTGACATCCATCTTGGTCTCTTCTTCTTCTGCAGCCTTTGTAATGATCTTTTGCATTCTTCATGGACGATTTTCTTGATATCCTCCCAGAGCTCATTTGGTCTACGCTCATTGGTGCTCAAGGCTTCAAACCTGTTCCTGAGATGGTTTTGAAAGTCGAGTGGGACAGACTTTAAGTCAAATCTTGGTTCCCATGGACTTGATTTAATTTTCCTCAACTTAATCTTGAACTTGCATATGAGTAGTTGGTGGTCTGTCCCACAATCAGCACCTGACCTGGTTTTCACAGCTGATATTGAGCTTCTCCAGCGAGTCTTTCCACAAATGTAATCTATTTGATTCCTATGCATACCATCAGGTGTGATCCATGTATATAGTCTGCGTTCATGTCTCTTATAAAAGGCATTTTCAATGAATAAATCATTGAATGTGCAGGACTCTATCATTCTATTCCCAGCCTCATTTCTCTCTGAGCCCGTGTTTTCCAGCTACTGATCCTTCTTCCCTGTTCTTACATTTTGGAAGGCCTCAAAATCTCATCCACGAAAGTTGTACTAAATGCAGAAGAGAGAACCAAGATTTAGGCGACAGGACTATTGAAGATAATTGGGACATGAGTTTTGTGACTGAGGAATTCGTCGATTCCTCAGAATTTGAGAGAGTTCTGTGATCTATGAGGGAAAAAGAGGGTTGGAGTCAGACCAGTGTGTTACCAAAATGGGCCACTGATACAGAATGTTCTGGTTATATTCCAGATCTGAACTCTACCTTTAGCCAACCAAACCAGCATCTCTTAGAGAAAACAAGACAGGAATCTGGATTTTTCATAAGTTCCTGGTATGACTTTTTTGCACACTGAATAAAATCTTGATTTTAAAAAAATAGCCAGACTTCTGAATAGGAATTTTAATGCACTGTGTAGTTACCGTTTGCGTTACTCATCATTCCTTTTTGTAGATTCAGGTTTCCATCTGATGTAATTTTCTTCTGCTTATTGAGTTTCCTTCACGTTTCTGCGAGTGCAAGTCTACCAGTGATGAATCCTTTCCCTTTTGTGTGTCTGAAAGCATCACTTGGCTTTTGTTTTTGAAAGGTATTTAACTGAGCAAAGGATTGCAGATTGGCAGGTTGTTTTTAGATAACCTTACCTTAAAGAAGTTGTCCCACTGTCTTCTAACTTGTAAGAGACCTTCTTTAGTCAAGTCTAGTTGCTCATAAGACTTTCTCTTTAAATCTAGTTTCGAACATTTTAACTCTTATGCTTTGCTTGAGGACCTCTGGTGGCCTAGTCTGGAGGGAGTTACCCAAAGGCAGCTCCTCTCTGACAGTTTGAATCCACAGGCTCCTCCATGGGAGAAAGATGGGCAGTCTTCTCTATGCAGTTTATACTCTGAAAACCTGCAAGAGAGTCAGCCATGAGTTAGTTCTGATCTGTGACTTTTGAGCAATGAGTTTTGAGATCATACAGTTCATGTTCCTTATACTTGAGTTGGTTGAGCTTCCTGGCCTTATGAAATTAACTTGTCATTATATTTGGCTAATTTTAATTACTATCTCTTAGTTTAGTTTCTTGCTCCCCTTCCCCTCATCCCTCTCACTCTCCTGTGTTTAGAGAACTCCAGTGGGACATAGATTTAGCTGCTTGAAGTTATCTGCCAGTTCACCGATGAACTATGTTTATTTTTTTCTTTGGTTCATTTTGGATGGTTTCTATTGCTGTGTCTTCAAGTTCACTATTCTTCTGCATTTAGTAGTAATGTTTAGTACAGTTGTGCACTACGCTCGAAGCACTCCGGGCCTGTCTGGCAGCACCAGTGTCCTTGGCATTGGCAGAGCAGCCTCGGCAGGTGCTGGTCCATACCAGGAGTGAAGGTCCCATGGCTGCGGGGCTGCTGGTGATTGAAACCAAGAGGATGGGAAAGTCAAGTCTCCTGCTCTCCACCGATTTGTTCACTGTGGTCATTTGGGTTATATTTTACTACCTCTTTATGTACCTGTTATTTTCTAATTGTATGATAAGCTTTGTGAATTATATGTTTTTAAACTGGATATTTCTATATTCCTAACTATGTTCTTGAGTTTAAACTTTGATAGACAGTCATAGCATTTAGTCAGGTACATTCTCCCCAGTACTAAGGCAATACCTTTTCAAGCATTCTAGCCATTGCCCCTGAATCAAGAGGTCTGTCCACTCTGGGTGTTAGGGGCAAGCACCATTTCCCAGCCCTGTATGCGCTGTGAACACTTCTCCCACTAATACTTTTGATTGATTGCTTCCCTGGGCTGTTAGTATCCTCACATGTGTCAGCCCTCCACTCAGGACGCAAGGGGGCGCTCTGTACACCTTCAGTATTCTCTCTGCATAGCTCTTAACCTGTCCTGTATCCTTTACTGCAACCTCCAGCTGCCTTGATTTTCCCGGAATCCCAGATTTGCTGCCTCAATCTCTGGACCTTGACAAGGTCCCTACATATGAACTTGAACTTGGAAACATTTCCAGGCAGGAAGCAGGGTTGGCCATAGAGCTCATCTCATTTGATTTCTTTCTCATGAATCACTGTCCTCCTTTGCATGACGCTGAGTGCCTTGAGAGTTGTTGCTTTAGATATTTAGTCCTGTTTCCTTTTTGTTTTAGCAAGAACGATAAATATGAACCTTGTTGGCTATCTTTGACCCATTGGCCTTTTAAATCTATAAATCCTCAATATTTCCTAAAATAACATTAGGCTTTTGTTATAAGAGTTATAACAATTTCTTCCTTTACATTTTAAAGTAATATTAATGTGAAAATAGAGTTGTACTGCTAACCTAAAGGTAGCCTGTTCGAATCCACCGAAAGCCCACTGGAGGGTCAGCTATGAGTGGTTCTGCCCCTCTGTCAGTGGGTTGAATTGGGTTGAAGTGGGCCTTTGATTTTATTAAGCCAGTTTTGAATTTAAAATGTCTATGCCTTGGGCTTGTTTTTAAAACACAAAATACACACAAATGGACGTGGTAGCAGTGCCAGGTGTGGTGCACCAGAGTCAGCTGCTTGATTCTCTAGGAAAAGTTGTGTTTTGACTTGGCACTGACTTCTTTAAGCATAGGCTGTTCCTCTGTCATCTAGTCTATTATTCTCTGTGTTCTGCAGTATCTTGGCCATGGTGTTTCTGCTAACCTTACTCCTTTGGCCACTTAGTAACTGAGCCTCTAATTGCAGGAGAGAGAAATAATAAGATGTCATAAATAGACGTCCATATAGTCACTGCCTTAGAGCTTTGGCATATGGCATGAGAGACTGATCTCCATTAACCTTGAAAGTGAATCTCAAAATACCAGTGTCGGTTTGAGCATGGTTGAGCTTTCTTTTGATAAAACCCTGCCCAAACAGAGCATCTCAAATGTCAGGTCCATTCCATCTTGGACTGAAGAACATCTTGCTCTATTTTTTGTTGTAGTACAGATAATTTCAATGTGTGGGTAGATAGACACTCAAAAACTCACTGCTGTCAAGTCAGTTGTGACTATTAGCAAGTCTCCACCAGGTATCCAAGTCTTACCAAGAGGAGATTGCACATTTTTTGCCTGAAGATGCTGGTGGATTTGAACCAGCCTTTTGATGAACAGTGCAACATGCTATGGACTACACTGAGGGCTCTGCAGACGACTCATTTTCAATTTATGTAGTCATTCACTAACTTAGAGAAAAGTATGCATTGAAAGAAATTGGAGTTTGAGACAAGGCTTATAATTTTTTCAGTTTTTTATTTCTAGGATAACTCCATTACAATCATAAGTTCAAGACCGTGTTTAGAAAGGTTAAAATTACACTGACGTATAGCTGTGTGATACCACCTCCAATTCTCTCATTTATGTAGATGAAGAACTAGTGGATGCATCTGCCTTATCAGCACCAAAAAGAGACACACACGGCCAGAATCCAGTTTGTGCAAAACAGAGGCTGGCTAGACATAGTTCCTTTAATACAATTCAGACCTCTGAGAAGATCAAGAGGAAAGTGAGCTCAGAACCCAGCAGCCCTTACAGAGAAGAACAAGGTATCCGTCCTTGCTTTCTTTTTTTTTGTTTTGTTTTTTTTTCCCATAATTATATTTTATTAATTTTCATAAACATTTACAGAGATTTTGGGTTTCCATTCATTCATTGTTGCACTATTCTCTCTACCCTCCTCCCAGTTTGTTCTTGTCCAAATGCCACAGTGCTTGTCAAAGCCAGTTCTGATTAATCTTCTTTGTCAGTGTGTCCTTTGCCATTCCCTATCACTCCTCCCTGAGAGAGACTTCACCCTGAGTCATAAGGAAAAGGGGATGGTGTATTCTCTTAGCTACTTCCTGCTGAAAAGGGACGCTGTGGGTTTCAGGGTGAAGCTCTTCTCTCACTACTCTAAAGGGCCCCTTTGGCAGTAGGAAACACATAGACTATTATGGAGGTTGATTTTTGGAATTTAGATGCACTCTTATTGATTGTGCTTGGCCGTATATGTTCATATCCTTGAAGATGTATCATGGGGGTGTTGCAAGCTAGAAGACACAAATTTGACTAACAAGTTATAAGTACATGAGTCAAAAATTATGGAAAAGTAAAAGAAAAGATTTTTTCATTGTTTTAAAAACCCTCCCCCAGGTCCCCTCCACCATGTAGCCCTCGCTCTAGACTCCTGTGATGACAGAAATACCTAGTTATATATCTCTTTTAAACAGTTTTCTCCCTCCTCTGTTTCAGTGCAGTATACATTATTGAACCCATCTTACTCAGTCTCTCCCCAACCCCAAGGACAGTCCCATTCTACAACAGTGGCATCATGTAATATTTGTCCTTTTGTGACTGAGATATTTCACTCAGCATAATGTTCTCCAGAGTCAACCATTTTGAATAATATTGCATGAGTTCCTTGTTTTTTAATGCAGCATAGTATTCCATTGTGCGAATATACCACAGCTTCTCTAGCCATTCGTTTGTTGATGGGCACATAGGTTGTTTCCAACTCCTTGCTATTGTGAACAAAGCTGCAATAAACATGGGTGTGCATATATCTGCTTGGATGTCAGCTATGGTCTCTTCAGGGTATATTCCCAGTAGTGGAATTGCTGGGTCAAATGGTATCTCTATTTGCAACTTTTTGAGAAAGCGCCATACTGCTTTCCACAGGGGTTGCACCATTTTACACTCCCACCAACAGTGAATCAGGGTTCCAGTTTCTCCACAACCTCGCCAGCATTTGTTGCTTGCTGTTCTGTTAAATTTTGCTATTTTGACTGGGGTGAGATGATATCTCATAGTTGTTTTAATTTGCATCTCTCTTAGGGCTAGGGATTTTGAGCATTTCTTCATGTGCTTGTTAGCCATCTGAATGTCGTCTTCGGTGAAGTGCCTGTTCATATCCTGTGCCCATTTTTCTACTGGATTATTTACCTTTATCTTGTTGTGGTGCTCAAGTATTTCATAAATTCTGGATATAAGTCCCTTATCTGATATGTTATTACCGAATACTTTTTCCCAGTCAGTGGCTTCCCTTTTTACCCTACTGGAGAAGTTTTTGGATGTGCATAGGGATTTGAGTCTTAGAAGATCCCATTCATCTATGTTATCTTCTCCTGGTTGTAGGTCGTCCTTGCTTTCTTAACCCGTGGGATCAGTCCATCACAGGGTAGCTGTAGACTAACCTGTGTACTGGCATTTTAAAATTAGCTGGCTCCCTAGGCTTTTATGTTCTGTTTCCCGTCGTCACTGTTTCACTTTCCTGAGGTGAAACGATTATTGGGAGCAAAAGAAACGCTAAGCTTACTGTGTATGAACATGACTCCATTGCTGGAAATGGATCCTAATCAGCCTAAGAGATCAGATCAGATAATTCATTGTGGCTGACCTATTCACCGAGCCTCAGAAAGTAATCAAACTTAGAAAGTATCATTTGTTTTCTTCGTGTGTGTGTGTGTGTGTGTGTGTGTGTGTAGTTATTCTTGATGAGACCTAAATTCACCATGAACTGCTAGCTTCTTAAAAATTCTGTCATGCACTCAAAACCAGAACAGGATTTGAGATTGTCTTATAATCCTTGAGCTGTGAATAATGAATTCTATAGAGTTTAATTTGATGTATACAGGTCTCTTGCTGTATTTTTCTCAACCTCCCTTTGTTCTTTCAGGATCTTGTGGTCGCTCCTTAGAAATTGCACGTCTGGCAGATGTCTACAAGCACCAGATAGAAGAAAATTCACAGTAAGTAAGGTTTAAAATTCAGATGTTCTTTTCTGTTGCCTATATTAGCTTGGAGCAGTAGAATCGGCACACAGCAAAACAGAAAGTTCAGTAGTCTTGCTCGTACATCAGTCATTTGTCATTTGTTCAGTTTTTTTATCAGTTTCCCGTCATGCCCAGCCCTGTCCATAAGAAGCCTCAGAGAAACAGAAAACTGTGACCAATTTATGCCCCAGAGCATTACAGCTTATGAAGAGGGAGTAGCCAAAAATTAAACATGCTTAGAAAAGACAGTTCATCACTGACATGCCATTAAGAAATGATGCAAGACGGGCCCATGGATCATTCACCATCCTGTCTCTTCCAAGAGTTTTTATGTGTATTAACTCATCCAGTTATAACTAATTCTTTGAAGTTGATGTTTCTATTCTCATGTTCAAAGTTATACTCCAGTAAATGAGAGACCTGGATTCAAATCTAGACCATCTGGTTGAGAACATGGGCCGTGCCCTACATGGGCCTTTGGGGAGGCCTTGCTTCACCCCTTTACAGCTAGGAGGCCTTAGGCAGGTTGTCTTCTGTTCTTTGGCTTTCAGAGTTGTATTCATTACTGAAGCAGAGTGCCACATCTTCTCTCCCACAGAGTGATTCGTGGGTCTTAACTACCAATCTTATGCTTAGCAGCCCAGCATGTAAGCACTGTGCCAACAGTATAAAATCATTCCAATAACAAACAGCAGTCGACAGATGCCATAGACGGGGCACCAACCCATTTTTACTTTCTGTGTGCTAGAACAAAGCTGCCCAGTCAGTCCATCATCCTCCTGATAGTCTCCAACATCTTCAGGTCCATTGTCACAGCTCTTATGCTATTTAATCTCATCAGGGGTCTCCCTCACCCCTGCTATCCCTGTCCTTCACCAAACACTCTCCACCTGATGCCATGTCCAAAGCGAGCAGTTGGGCAGTGCTGTATTGTAATCTGTCAGATTTCCGTTGACTTGTTTTCTTCTTAATCTGTAAACTCCACTAAAATTTATACCATGTGAGTGATCGCACTGGTGTCTGAGGTACCAGTGTCCCAGCATCCTAGCAACACACAGCCAACAGAATACCATAGATGGGTGGTAGATAGTAATAATATCTGAATGTCTACTAGGGAAGAAAGACTTTAATGATCTGCCCCTTTACAAATTACAGCCTAGGGAAACCAATGGCTAGTTCTAATCTGTCACATGGAGTCACTGTTAGAACTGATTCACCAGTACCTAACAACAAATTCCCAAAGAGCCAGTGTTCAGTCCAACCTGAGATCACCCAAAAGTTCTTCCCATCTGAGCCCTAAAAATTCATCCAGGTTATACCTAGCCTGTATTGGTCTTGGCTAACACGTGTTCAAGAGTGTAATCCTAACTGTCTCTGGTTCTCCTCAGGGGCTGGTAGAATGTGATAACTCCTTGGCCTTCATTACTCTTCTTCATATTACAGGAGGAAAGGTTTTGCCAGTAAGAAAATGGTACCTCCCTCAAACAGCTTGGACCCTGTTCTTCCTTCCCCTGCCCATCCTGTGGGCTCCGAATATCCTGCTAATCCATTAGCACAGCAAGTGTTTTCTCTTCCTCAAGTGGATATGCCAGCATTCCCCACGCCTTGTGGTCTGAATGGACAGGTAGGAGTCTCGCTCACTCCGGCCACCTCAGACATGGAGAACCTGAAACCAGCCGTGCTGGCCGGTCAGCCCTTGGTGTGTGTGCCCTCCACCTCATTATTCATGCTGTACGGTAGGCTTCAGGAAGGTCTTCCCTCGGGGCCAGGCTCCGAGAAGGACGGGAGAAGCACAGAAGTCTCCACAGCAGAACCATCGTCTGCACCTTCAGCTCAGAAGCGTGCCAGTGAGGAGAGGAGGGCTCAAAAGGAGGAAGAGCCAGTCAGTAAAAGACAACGTATGGAATATGAAGATGGACCCTTATCCCTTGTTGTGCCCAAGGTAAGGCAGTGCATGTGTGTATGTCTGGGGACCTCCCATTAACCCAGAAACCTCTTCCTAAAGAAGTCACACAAATGTAATAAGGCGCTGGGTCTGCAGTTTTGGGACTATTCACGTTACCTCTGTAGGTAGGCACTGGGCTGGGGGGGAAGGGGCAGAAGGACGTGCAATAAAAAACAAAACTTGGCATAGTAACACCGTAACAAAAATGAGGGATTTTTAGCAAAGTAGCTCAGTGCCATAATCAATAGGACATTGCACTGCTAACCCAAAGGCCTCCTCTTTGGTGGTCCACCAGCATCCCCAAGGGAGAAAGATGGGCCGTGTCCTCTCATGCATTATATAGACTTGGAAACGTACTGGAGAGTCAGCTGTGAGATAGTTCTGACTTGATGGCAGAGAGTGAGCATGCTAATATATCTAAAACTGAATGTCATATGGACGAAGAAGGCTTACCCATAATCCCACCATACAGCAGCAATCCTTCTTAACATGTTTGCACATTTCTATCTCACTCCCCCATGGAAAACAAGCTGAGAATGCTGACATCATTACCTTAATCTGCGATGCAGCTGAGTTCCAGACTCGAGAATGTGGGTGCCGGCCAGCTTTCACTGCCTTAGCTCGACCGGGTTTCATCACTGCTCAGTAATTCTATTTCCTTAGCAGTAAAAGCAGCAGAAGAAAAGCATGAGCTATCCACATCTCCTGCTTAGTCGTCATTTGGAGGTTAATGAGATATGACCAGTAAAACTCAGAAAGAGGCACCATCGTCGTAATAGCAGTCTGGAGAGGGTCAGCTAGACACACTTTATAGACATCACTCCATTCATCAAGAACCTTTCCCACCACTCCTTTCTCTTGCCAGAATGAGTTCTTCTGATGGCGCAGAGCCCGCTGTGGCAGGATAAAAAGTGAAACATTACCTGGTATACATCTTAGACCATCCCAGGGTTAGTCCAGCCTTGCAGTTTTACGGCGGCGGTGTGGTTGTTGTTGATGTTGTGTGCCATTCCATCAATTCCAACTCGTAACAGCCGTACAGAGCGGAGTACAGCTGCCCCATACGGTTCCTCAGCTGTATTCTTAATGGGAGTAGTGACAAGCCTTTTCTCTCAGGAAGCAGCTGTGATTTGAAACTGTTGACCTTTCACTTAGCAGCCCAGTGCTTTAATCATTGAGGTGGCATTTCTGTAAGGCCCCAAAAGACTATGGCACCAACATGTGTTTTGAATTATCAGTTAAAAGGAAGTATTTCATAATCTTATTTATATAAAATGTCTAACAGTAGGTAAATGTATATAGAACAAGGTCTGTTAATGGTTGTTCCAGGGCAGGAGGGGGGGTGGTGAAGAATAGGATAGTCATTGCTTAAGGACCACAGAGCATCTGTTAGGGAGATAGGAGAGTCTGTAAATGGGCAGCACTAATGCTTAAACAACATGACGAACATAATTGATGTCGCTCTGTTGGACACACAAATATTGCTGACATACACCGTCTTCAAAAATGTGTTTTATAGTCTAAACACCACAGCCAGTTTTCCATTATTAAAATCTTCAGCGTTTTATACTCAAGAGTCTCAAGTGTACGGTTTCCTGTGACTGTTTCATTTTCAGGCTAAACCTATAAATGTTATTGAAAGCACTGACATGCATAAATCAGTGTGACACACAGCTGTGTTTTAATTTTTTGTTGTCATTGATAGTTTAGTTATTTTGGGAAAGCTGTTAAGATTTACTCCCTGAGTTTTCCCTTGCTCTTCTGGTTCTGACTTGGTTGTACTGACAGAAAACTACAGATGTCACAGAAAGTGCCTCTCGGAAGACTATCAACACGGAATCCGTGCCCCACGAAGATGTCTGTGTGAATGGCCAGCTCACTGCTGCAAAGGAGGTTTCAAGAAAACCTACAGTGAACGGCTTCGTCTATCCTGAGTGGGGATATCCTTCCAAAAAAGCAGAGATTGAGAAGTCTTCTCAAGAAAATGAAAGCACCAAAGAGCCCCCTCTTCTTCAGTATCTTTACGTGCAGTCACCAGCTGGTAAGGGGGGGCCTCTTGTCCCAGGGCCCCTGGTGGGATTTGTATTAGAAATTGGATTTTCTTCCTAAATAAGTTTTGCTGCTGTCTTTTTTTTTTATTTCTTTTTAAAATTTATTTTCGTTTTATATTGATTTGCATACAAAAGTCCTGTACTTTGTTTTGTTTATATACATTGTGTTTCATGCATTCCTCCATTCACATTATTTCACAATATCATTCCCATACTTTGTTATTTTATTAAATGAATAACCATGCCCACCATTACCCTACCTTTTCAGGTCCCCACTGGATCTTTCCTAATTCCTTCACCTTTTCACTCTGTCCACCAAACTCTGGAACCTCGAGATTTTCTTTCTTCCCCACCCTAAGGCTCCCTCCACCCTCCCCTTCCCCCTTTGGACTTTGGTATACATCTTACTAGTAATCCTATTTTTATAGTAATGGTTTTATGCAGTATTTGTCCTTATGAGACTGAGTTAGTTCCCTCAGCATAATGCTCTCATGTTACATAGCAGTTTCAAAATCATTGCTCCTGAGTGCTGCATAGTCTTCTATTGTGTGAAAGTACCACAGTTTCTCAATCCATTTGTTTGTTGATGGACATTTTGGCTGTTTCTTTTTTTTCTTGCTTTTGTGAATGCTGCTGCTATGAACATTGGTGTACAAATCTCCATTTGTGTCTTTGGTTCTGTTTTCCTCAGGGTATATTCCTAGCAGTGTCATATGGAATTTTTAGCTGGGTCATATGGAATTTCTATGGTCAGCTTTTTGAGAAAACAGCAAACTGCCTTCCAGAGTGGTTGTACCATTTTATAGTCCCACCGACAGTGTATCAGAGTCCCAATATCTCGATATCCTCTCATTTATTGCTTGCTGTCCTATTATACTTTGACACTGCTACAGGCATGAGATATCATTATTTTATTTGCATATTTCTTATTGCCAGTAATTTTGAGCATCTCTTCATGTGTACTTTGGCCATCCGAATGTTTTCTTTGAAAAGTCTTTCCATGTCTCTTGTTCCCAGTTTTGTAATTGTGTTATCAGCCTTTTTCTTGTGAAGGCCCTATAGGATTCTTTAAACTTTTGTTATGAGCTCCTCGTCTGAGATGACATTGCCAAGGGGTTTTTCCCCAGCCAGCAGGTTTTCTTTTTGCACTATTGGAAAAAGTTTTTGATGAACATAGGGACTTAATCTTTAGGAGATCCCATTGATCGATGTTAATTGAGGGAAAGTTTGCTTTCACTCCATCACCCATACATATTTTGTTTTATAACACTGTAGTTAAAGTTATAATCCATACATACACATTTTTAGAATATTAATACAATAGACTAATATAATTCATTCCATTTTCTGATAAATATATTTTTTGGTGTCTTTCCCTTAAATTTTCTCCTATCGCCTGACTTACTACCTCTGTAATTTTTTTCATAGTCCTTTGTTTTCTCCATCCATAAAATGAAAGTGAAGCCTTCTTTTAAGGAGCATTCTGATCCCTTGAAAATCAAGTCCAAGTGATCACTATGGTCAAGGACTATCCCTAAAATAAGAACACTTGAGATTCAAAACTCCCTTCTTATCAGCTATAACTTAAGACATTCAACCATTCTCATAGGGCTAATAATGGTACCTACCTCATAGATTTGCTTTGAAAATTAGAATGGTTCTTAAAACTTAGTACTTATTAATAAGTATCAGTAGTTATGTTTTTTTAATTAAAGCTGAAATACATTGTTGTTTTTGGATGCTATTGAGTCCAGTACTACTCATAGTGAACCTCTGAACAAAAGATCTGAATCCTGTTCTAGCCTCTGCCATCCTCACACTTCCTGACACACAAGAGCCCATTGCTGCAGTCACCATGTCAATGCACCTGGTCGAAGGTCTTCTTTTCCTTCATCGAACCTCCACTCTTCCCAAAATCATGTCCTTCTACAAGGAATAGCCCCTCCTAGCAACATGTCCAAAGTATGTGAGACGAAGCCTCATCATTTCTACCTCCGAAGAGCACTCTTCTGTCTGTACTCTCTCCAAGACATATCTGTTTGATCTTTTGACCGCCTATGGGATATTCAGTGCTTTTCTCCAACATCACTACTCAAAGGCATCAATTCTTCTTCTGTCGTCCTAATTTGCAAGATTTATAAAGTATATCTGAACCCCCTGTAGATGCTACGATACATACTGATTTTCTTCAATTTCCTATTGACTTAAATGTCTTTAACAGACCAGGTTAGATGTGTATTATTATTATTCATTTATCTAGAAAATATTCTTTACCTCTCTAACAGATATTTTTGTGTTTTTACTCTAAACATGATGCTCAACATTGAGAATATACTGATGAACAAAAAACCACACCCATGTTGAATGAAAATTACAATCCAGCACAGAGGTGTACCCATAGGCTGTCTAGGAAAACCTTGATTCCTTCTAGAATGTTAACAAATGCACAGAATTGAATACATTGGTTTATGAAGGAAGTAAACCATACTGAAATGCAATTGTAAATTATTTTTAAAATTCTTTATAATAAAACTATATGACAGCAAATACTAGCATTTCAAAAGTCTAATGGACTCACTGTATTAAGAAATCTGCCATAGTTACAGTATGAACATATCTGTACTTGTTCCTAGTGGCAAAGTTATATTTGTTATCTGTGATCATAGCTGAAGCAGTTAGCACAAATAAAGATAACACTTTCCTATTTATCATCACTTTGGTTTAGCTGAATAACAGTTGATTATAAAGACTATGACTTGAATTAGGAACATGGTAGTCTTACTGATAGCTAGAACTTTGGAGAGGTCCCTCACAACAGACTTTGGTAGTGGTATACATCTCCATATTTCCTGGATGCTGGTAGCAAGGGTATTGATTAGGGATACAAGCAGATGAAATCATTGACAATTTCAGTCTTCTCTCCATCTATCATGATGTTGCCCATTAGCCTAATGGTGAGAATTTTTGTTTTTTTGATGGTGAGGTGTAATTCATATTGAAAACTGCAGTCCTTGATCCTCTGCAGCAATCACCTCAAGTGCTCCTCGATTTCAGCAAAGTTGTGTCATCTGAATAATACAGGTTGTTGATGAGGCCACCTCCAATTCTTATGCCACTTTTGTTCATTAAGTCCAACTTTACTGGTAATTTACATACCATACAGATTGAATGGGTATGGAAAAAGGATACAACCTTGATGCATGCTTTTCTCAATTTCACACCATGTAGTGTTCTCTTGCTCTGTTCAGAGAATAGCTTCTTGTTTAGGTATATATTTTATATATTTAGGTATATATATAGTAAGCATAATTAAGTCTTCTGGAATTACATTTTTCTCAGTGTTTCTCAGTAGTTTGTGACAATTGACACAGTAATATGGCTTTGTATGGTCAATAAAACAAAAATAGATAATCTTCTGGTATTTGTTACTTTCAGACAGGATTCATATGACATCAGCAGTGATAGCCCTGGTGCCATGGCCTCTTTTAAACCCAGGCTTATCTGAACCATGGACTAGATCAGGTGTACCTTAGTCTCTAGACTGACATCATTGCTCTTTAGCTCTCTGGAAAGGACACTGACAGCAGATTTTCCTAATGCAATTTGTCTTTTGATTTCCTGACTACTGGTGCCGAGAGTATTGATAGTAGAACCATGCAAGCTGAAATTGTTAACAACTTCAAACTCTTCTCCATCTATTATGGTACTACCAGTTGGCCCAGTGGTAAGAATCTTTGTCTTCTTGATGCTGAGCTTCAATCCATATTGAAGACTATAGTCCTTGACCTTCTGTAGCAAATGCTTCAGGTCCTCCTCAGTTTCTGCAAGGTTGTGTCATCTGCATAATGCAGGTTGTTGATGATTCTTCCTCCAATCCTGATGCCACAGTCCTCCTAAAGTCCATCCTCCCAAATGATCTGTTCCACATGTAGATTGAAAATGTATGGAGACAGGACACATCCCTTACATACTTATTTTCTGATTTTGAAACATGCAGTGTGTTCCCTTGCTTAATTCTGACATCTGCTTTCTGGTCCAAGTATAGGTTTTGCCTGAGCACAGTCAAGTGTTCAGGGATTCCCATTCTTCTCAAGGTTAGCCACAACTTGTTGTGATCCACACAGTTGAATACCTTTATAAAGTCAACAAAACAAAGAGACATTTCTCTGATACTCTCCTTTCAGCCAAGATCCATCTGACATTGGCTATATAGTCCCTAGTGCCACAGCCTCTTCTAAACCTAGCTGTATTTCTGTCAATGAACTCTTCCTGTTATTTTTGGATAATCTTCAGGATTTTGCTTGCATATTATATTAGTAATATTGTTCTGCAATTTCCACACTCTTTCAGCTCACCTGTTTTTGGAACGGGAATTAATATGGACCTCCTCTAAGTGAGTTGGCCAGGCAGTTGTCCTCTAGATTTCCTAGTACAACCCGGAAGCACTTTCAGGGCAGCATCTATTTGTTAAAATATGTCAATTAGTATTCCATCTATTCCTGGGGCCTTGGTTTTTTGCCAGTTTCTTCAGAGCAGCTGGAACTTCTCCTTCATCACTATTGCCTGTTGATCTTATGCTATTTCGTGAAATTCTTTTTGATTCAGTGACTTTTGATGCTTCCTGGATCATTCAATATTCTGCCCTTAGCATCCTTAAGTATTACAACTTGAGGCTTGAATTTGTTCTTCAGTTCCTTTAGTTTAAGGAATGCCAAATAAGTTCATTCCTTTTGATTTTCTGACTCCATCTCTCTGCGCATTTCATTATAATACTTCACTTTGTCTTCCTGAGCTGCCCTTTGAAATCTTTTGTTCAGCTCCTTCACTTCTGATGTCTTCCCTTTGCTTTAGCTTCTCGACACTCTGGTATAATATTTAGAGTCTCTGAATCTTTCTGACATCCATCTTGTTCTCTTCTTCATCCTCTATCTTTTGCATTCTAACAATCTTTTGCATTCTTCATGTGTAATATTCTTGATATCCTCCCACAGCTCATCTAGTCTTCTCTCATTTGTTAGCAAAGCCTCAAACCTGTTTTTGAGATAATTCTTAAATACAGGTGGGATAGACTCCATGTCAAATTTGGGCTCTTGGTGGATAAATACATAAAATGTGGTAATAATAACTATATAATATTGTTAAGTACTATTAAATTGAAAGTGACTCATAGCTGGCCTTCCAGTGGGTTTTCACGGGTTATAAATCGCACAGGTGGAGACTGCCCATATTTCTCCCTCAGAGCAGTTGGTGGGCTCGAACTGCCTGCCTTTGGTTTGGCAGCACAGCTCTACCCACATGATTGCCAGAGTACCCTAATTCAGTGTTGTTCGATCATGTTCAAAGAGAAATTCAGTCTTAATGCATGCTACATTATAATGAACCTCATAAAGAGATACCAAATAAATCAGATACCAAAGGATAGATGTTGTACAATCCCACTCTGGATATGAATATCCAGAATGGACAAATGCAGAGACACCAGTTTAGTGACTGCCAAGGGCACATGGGAAGAAGTGATGGGAGGGTATCACTGAAAAGCTATTGAGTTTCTTTTAAGGTTGATGAAAACATTTGGAAACACTGGTAATGGTTGTATCATAATTAATACCATTGAACTGTACACTTGAAAATGGTTGAAATGGAAACTGTTACATATATTCCACTACATTAAAAAGCAGACCCTCTCACAGAGGAAATAAGCACCAAATTAGGACACAGATAATGAAATTCTCACCATGACTAGTCTTTCTCGTTTAAGAGAATGTCATGTTATTTTCAGGAATGCTGAGAGTTTGGGAAATCATCCCAAATAACTCATGAGATGTGAGAGAAATTGGAAGAATCTGTTCTCAAAATCAATGTATTAGAATTTTGTAAACAAACTAATATTTAAAAAAATTTAAAATTAGAAAGAAAAAGAAGTTATTGGCATTATGAAAAAAAAAGAAGAGGCGTGGGGCTCAGAGGCCATGTCCAAGGGGTTTGATCATTTGTTGTTTATCATGGACTCTCATTTGACAGTCCAGGAGCGATGTGAGCTTGAACTGTATAATGTTTGTCTTCATCTTACCATTTCCACCTTGTTCTGTTTCAGGATTGAATGGCTTCAACGTGCTCGTACCTAGTGGTCAGAGCCCTCATGCCTTGGGACCATCTTCAGGCCAGCTGCCGCCCCTCAGTGTTCCCTGCATGGTCTTGCCATCTCCGACTCTGGGCCCTTTTCCAGTTCTCTATTCTTCCACAATGTCTGGGCTGGGTTCTGCTGCATCCTGCACGCTGCCAAACACAGGACCGGTGAACATGAGCTTGCCTGGCCTGGGATCTACAGCCCATCTTCTTATCAGCCCTGCGACCATGGTTAATCCAAAGTCATCAGCACTCCCCACCTCAGACCCTTTGCTCCAAGGCCAACCCTCCCTGACCCCGAATCTGGAGGTGTCACAGGCCTGCAGTGCTACCCAGCCTGGATCACCTGTTTATGTGGGACACCCAGCCCCAGCAGTGAAGTTACAACAGGTGAGCCCTGCCATTCACTTCAGTTTGGCAAATGAAGGCTGCCGGCTCTCGTGATGGGGTTCACTAGCATCTATTGAGTTTTTGTTTTAACTGGAGGCTATGTGCCAGCCTCTGCCAACTGGCAGCATAGACCCATGGGTACCTGCTTATTTTATAAAGCACCAAGACATAGAACAGGACAGCTTATGCTTTCAGAAAAACAAATTTTAAAGTCATCATTTTGTTTCTTGGAATTCGAGTGCACATATTCTAGAAAAAATTAAACAAACCCAAAATAAAAAAACCATAAAACTGAGAGAGCCAGTGAAAGGAGAAGAAAGGCCCCAACAAAGTGGACTGAAAAAATGATTGCAGCAGTGGTTTGAGCTTGAGAGAGATTGTGACAGTGACAGCATAGGGCAAGATTTTGATCTGTTGTTCATAGAGTGGCTGTGAATTATAGTCAGCTTGACAGCATGGAAAAGCAAACTCAGGCAAAGGGAGTTCTGATGCTATAGTTGCACTTCTAACCAAAGGCTGCACCACCTGCTGTCCCAAGAGAGAAAGACAAGCATTCTCCTAGTCCAGTTAGCTTTGGAAACCAGATGGCGGGTCAGCTATGACTCGATTCTGGCTTGAGAGCAATGGGTGTTTAGAGACTTTAGGCATAGAATCCTGATGGTGTAGGGCACTATGTGTTGGTCTGCTAACAGAAAGGTTGACGGTTCTAATCTATCAGCTAACCCAACAGAGACATATGAGAGACTCTCCCCCCCAAAAAGACTTACACCTTCAGAAACTCCGTAGAGCATTATCATGAGTCAGAATTGACAGGAAGGCACTGAGTAGCTATTTCAGGCATAGTTCATGTAGATTTTTTCCAATGCTGCAGAATATCCAGAGAAGAAAAACAGTTTCACGAGTTTTCATTTCTTTGGGTCAGACTCACTGCTGTAGAGTCAATTCCCAGGGTAAATTCGAACCACTGATCTTTTGGTTGGCAGGGAACCATACTATACACTTATACCATCAGAGTTCCTTATAAACTAATCATAACTATAGGAGCAATTGAAGGAAACAAGTCTTGAACTCAAATAATTTTTGTGTCAGTTGTTGTTGTTGTTGTTATGTGCCGTTGAGTCGCTTGCGACTCATAGCGACCCTATGTACAATAGCCCTAAACTCTACTCTGCCCTGTGCCAATCGCACTGTCTCCGACACTCCCATCCCAGTTATCCCAGTCACTGAATCAATCCACCTCATAGAGGGCCTTCCTCTCCTGCGCCGTCCCTCCACCCTCCCAAGCATGATGTCCCTATCCAAGGAACGGTCTCTCCTCACAACATGTCCAAAGTATGTTAGACGGAGCCTCAGAATCCTTGCCTCCAAGGAGCCACCCAGTTTAACCCTTTCCAGGACAAATCTGTTTGTTTTCCTAGCAGTCCTTGGTATTCACAATACTCTTCTCCAGCACCACAGCTCAAAGACATCAATTCTCCTTCTATCCTCCTTGGTCATTGTCCAACTCTCTGATGCATAACAAGTGATTGCGAAGACCATGGCCTGTATCAGATGCACCTTAGTCTCCAGAGAGACACCATTGCTCTTCAGTACTTTGGAGAGGTCCCTAACAGCAGACTTTCCCATGGCAATGCGCCTTTTACTTTCCTGGCTGCTGGTGCCAAGACTGTTGACTATGGAGCCAAGCAAACTAAAGCTGTGTACAGTCTCAATCTCTTCACCATCCATCCTTATGCTGCCAATTGGTCCAGTGGTGAGAATCTTTGTCTTCTTGACACTGAGCCTCAATCCATATTGTAGGCTGCAGTCCTTGACCCTCTGCAGCAGGCGCTTCATGTTCTCTTCAGTTTCAGCAAGCAGGGTTGTGTCATCCGCATAACGCAGATTGTTGATAAATCATCCACCAATCTTGAACCCACATTTCTCCTCATAGAGCCCAGCTTCCCAGATAATCTGTTCTGCATATAGGTTGAAAAGGTATGGAGATAGGATACATCCCTGGCGTACGCCCTTCCCAATTTTGAACCATGCAGGGAATGACTTTTTTTGTATCAGTAATTTCTTAAAAATGCAGTATCTAGAATGATATAATGAATACATATACTCACAAAACATACAAAAAACATATGCAGTTATATTTAACATAAATTAGTTTTGTATATGTTTTCCCAAAACTAGTTGCTTAGTAATAGCTGGTGAATCTGTTATGAATTACACATTGTTCTGAGGGATTATTTCCCATCAAAGAGAACAAGAGTTAATGTGGTCGCCAAAAATATTTCAGACAGGTTGGAACTCAGGTGTCATAGTCTGTAGCTGTTGTGCTGCTAATCACAAGGACTCAGAGCTTCAGAAGTTCTACTCCACTAGTTGCTCTTGGTGGAAGGATGGTCAGTCTATGCCTATAAGGATTTACACCCTTAGAAACCCAGAGGAGGACCACTAGAAGTCATAGTTGATTGAAGACAGCTTTGAAAGTTTACTAAATGCTGCGATAAATATGACAAGTATAATTTTTGATTCCCGGTTATGACACGCACTAATATAAGCATTGAGGTAGCAAAATCCCTACCATTTTTTACGTCACAGATAATATATAGGGAGCTCTGGTGACGGACAGAGGTTGTTGAGTCACAAACCCAAAGACCACACTCCTCTGGGCGTTTGGGTCTCCCAGCAGCAACGTGGGAAAAAGATGGGCAGTCTCCTCCACTGATTGAGAACCTGTGAAAACCTACTGGAAGGTCAGCTGTGAGTCGTTCCGGGTCAACAGTGCACAGCATACCATCTTCCTTAATTCTTACAGTATTTTAAAGAAAGCACTTTTATGATCCCCACTCTATAAAATAATTTGCCCATAGTCCCACAGCTAGGTTTGGGTGAGCCCAGACTGTAACTTCAGAAGCCATCCTTGTAGCCTCTGTTAAGCTCCCTTTCTGCACACAAAACAAATCGTTTACATTTGTGTGGGAAGGAGAGAAACTGAATGAGTGCGGTAGAAAAGCAGTGAGGCAGGAAGCCCTACACAGGTGTCAAGACAGACCGCTGACAGAACGGCATCCAGGTCAGGTTGGAAGTAATTTGACTTGACTTCCAGTTCTCCTGATTTTTATATTTGCCTCTCTTTTCAGTCACCAGCTCCATTAACTCCGAAGACAATTCGACACACACATCGGGAAACATTTTTCAAGACACCAGGCAGCCTGGGAGACCCTGGAACCAGGAAAAGACAAAGGAATCTGTCACGAAACACCACGTCGGCTCAGAGAAAACTCGAAATCCCCAGCAGTGGGGCTGACTAACCTGACGCAGAGCCAGGCGGGTGGGCGGGCGCAGACCACCGTGAGCCACCTGTGTTGCTGGTGATGCAGGAAGGCTGACTGGAAGGCAAACACACACCATCCAGTCGTCAGCGCCTCCATTCTGCTTTTCATCCTCATCATGTCTATTTTCCTCGAAGTCATTGTTACTAATTGTGCATAAGATTCCACTTTGAGTTCAGACCAATCATTGTATCACAGTGAAGGCCTTGACTGGTTCCTATAATTTGGGTTCCAGAAGCGACTTTGTGCTATAAATAGGGCTGAATTGGAGCCTTAACATTTTTTCAAAAGGGCAGAGCTATCTAGCACTTAAGAAAGGTAAGCATTCTTCACATATATCCCACTTGCCCTGATTAAATCTGTGGTGATAAAAACTCCTTTCTTCAGTTTAAAGAAGCTACTGCTTCCTTAGTGAAGCCAACTTCAGTTGTGAATACTACGGTATTATTTATTTTCTCCCTGAAAGGAGATTTAGTGCAAAAAAAGTTTACATCTACATCAAAACAAGATTCTTTTCAGGGTATGACGACTTGAATGTTTGTACTTTTTTCTTTTTTCTCCTCCTGTAATGTGCCTCCCAGCACTTATAACATGTGGATAAATGTATATATGTGGTAAAATGTCAAGACCAAAATAACTGTGAAGGAGGACACACTTCTTTGTATATGAACAGTGCTGGCGCTGTGCATGGATTGGGGAACGAACACCAATCCTCAGCAGCCCCATTGCTGCTTCTTAAAGAACCATGTGAAAAAGGAGGTTTTCTTCTTTATGTGTAAAAATCCTCCAGTGTTCCGTTTCCATCACTACATACCCCTGAATTTTATTTAAATGTTGGCCTTGGGGTAGTCAAGTGTAGATGTCTGCTAACAATCACTGTTTACAGAATAAATCAAGATGGCATAAAGTAATTATAGGAGAAATCAGGTTGGTACCTTTGGGTAGGATGTTAAAGAGCCATGGTGTAGAAATTGATATCCGGTGGTAGATGAATCTCTGGGTTTCTCGCCTGCCCTCTTCACATTTGGAAGGATGGGAGAGGAAATTTAGTATTCAAGAGTATTCAAGCCAGGGTCTTATGGTGCTTCTGAAAAAAAATAACAAAGACAGGCATTCAGTGTTTTAGTGCACGTACAATAGTTCTGGAAGCTATTAAGCAATATTTCATATTAAATCATGTAACTTTAGGATTTCATTAAGTAGCCAGATAGCATTTTTTATTCATAGGTTTATTGATATTTACCTCATTCTAAGTTTAAGTGGCTTTCTTTCTCATTCTTCATTTTTTTGTTCCTTCCCCTCCTCATTTCATGTCTACCTTTTAAAAAAGTTCTACTCTAAATTTTTAATCTTGGTGTAGGGTTTTAGTTTTCTGTTTTTATGTCCAAGAAAAGGTTATATGAAAGAATACTAATTTAAGAGACTCTGGCAGTCAGAGTAAATTAGCTTTAAATTAACTGTAGCATAAAATTAACCTTAATATCCCAACAAGGTTTATGAAAACTGTAGGTAGGTAGCCAGATTAAATAAATTTGCTACTTACATAAAAATTTTATCAGCACTACATTTTTAATGTTTATAGAATGCTGTATTTCCCCCACCTTTTTTTTTTTAACCATCTCTGGAGTTAAACAGAAAAAACGGTTTTAATTATTGACAATTGCACAGTAAAGATTAGCCTGAACTAATACTGAGGAAGCAAGCATATAAATCTGCACAGAGTACATATGGTTTAAATCCTGCATCCTCAACAAAACATTTTTCACTCAGAGATTTGTTCCAGATATAAACAAACAACTTTTCTCCTCACTACTTCTGAATGTTTTCCACTGATCATTTTACTCCTTTGTTACCACCTTTTTTTAAAATTCTATTCCTGATATGGCCACATTTATCTCAGAGAATTCATGGTTCTTGAAAGGTATTAAAAGTCAGTCCCATACATAATAATGTTATGACTTTGTGACCAAATCGCCATGCTTAGCAAGAGGAGACTAAGAAAAACAACTTAACCTTTGTATTCTGTACTCACTTCTTAATGTGGCTGCGTGACATGTAAATAATTACAATAGCAATAATGGTGCAGCTATTACTGTCAGGAAAGGGAATCTGTTTCTTGCAGAGCAACTGATGGTAGTGAAATTGCTGGGCTAGATTTGAATGTTTTGGGGAGTGAAGATGCAATGGCAATCTTGAATCTATTACTGTATACTTTAGTAAGAAAATAATCGTTGATGAGACTGCTAAGGAAATGCAGCTGAGAGTCAACACTGAGGAACGTCTGTGCCCTATGCTAGCCAGGGTTTCCGAAACCCTTAACATTCTGGTACAAGAGTTGGGGAAATAATTTTTATACTTGAATCTACCTACCAAGTTTACATTTCTCAATTCCTTTTTGTCAGGTGCTTTTTCTGTATTTAAATACCTAATTTTTTTAAAATGTAAAGCTGCTTCTTGCTTATCTTATTGCACTGCTAGTTTTATGTAGCTGTTAATTTTATTGCTGTCTCCTGCTTTTGTTTTCATATTATTTAGCTCTGCTTTTTTGTTTTCCCTTTTATTTCTGATAGGTATAGGATCTATAGCTTTTTTTCTTAGTACTTTGCTACATGTAAATGGATTTTTTTATTTTCCATTAGAAAAATACATAGCTTTATAAAATAGTAGCAATAAAAAATGTGTTTCGTAAGAAATGTTACTTGTGATTTTGGTGAGTTTTTCCTGTGTCCTACCTGGTAGTGTCTAGAGGGTGCTGCATTGCTGACTCAAAGGCTAAGCCTCTGGTGGTTTGAATACACCAGTGGAGAAAGACCATCTCCTCCTGTGTGATTTACAGCCTCCGAAACCCAGTGCAGTGTCTATGTGAGTCTGTTCTGCCTGGACAGTAATGACAGTTTCTTTGTAGTAAAACTTTTAACAGCCAACTTTCATCAGTCAGGACTTTTTGCTGAAACGTTTCTTCCAGTAGTCACCAAACAAAGAGTGACCTGTCTGTGTCAGAATTGCAGAGGAGCTTGAGGAATAGAAGCTGCAAGAGAGCTTCTGTCAGACACTGAGTCAGAATTGCTGGCATTTCCAACCAATTCTGATGCCTATCCAGTGTAGGAATCATTGGTGAATGCGAACCACTTTTCCTGATTTCTGTCTAGCAAATGCCCATTAGTTCAAAGTCAAATTCCATTTCTAGCCTTCATTTTTCTCCAAGCACATTTTACTAAAAGTTAAGTGATTAAGCTCTGGTGGCTTAATGGGTGAGGAACTGGGCTGCCCACCCAAGGGCACGCAGTTCAAATCCACCAGTTGCTCCAAGAGAGAAATATGGATAATCTCATCTTATACAATTCACTGTTTCTGGAAACCCACTCAAGGGGCAGCTATGAGTTGATTCCTATTCAACGGCATAAGACAACTGGTTTACAGTGCGTTGAACAAGCAGGACTCAAAAGTAATTTTGAAAATTTACCTTGCTACCCAGTGTGACTTTAAGCTTTGTCTGTGGGGGCGGCACACTAACCTTTGTATGAAAATGGAATCAAGTGTCATGATCTTCTGGTTTCTATAAATAGCAGAAGTCCTATAATCATTTTAAGTTAGAAAAACCATCCACTCTTTATGCAGAAGTGTCTCCATTCTCTCCAGTAGCTGACGCTTGCTACAGTCTGGTCCCTAACAACGTGAGACTACAACCTTCATCTAGTCCCTGCTAAGCAAATCTCCTGGTTTTCTAGATCTGTTCCCAGTAAGATCAGAGCAAGGGCAGCTAGACAGATAAAGGGTACGAGAGAGCAAGTGTTAGTCGCTTTTGTAAGTGAGCTTCCCAAACTGGCAGATGTTTGAGCCGATTTTCATGGACCTCAGAAATTCCATCATGGGAAGGTTTGCCTGAACTTGGGATCCAGCAAGGCATTTTCCACTAGTGCGTTTCTTTGGCCTTTTTTTTCCATTGTCAGCTCCACACAGACTCCTTAGCAGGATCTAATACTTTCAGGCTGGTTCTCTTTCCCTTGACTCATAGAATTCATTCTGGAAGAAGCCAAATTAGTTCCTGTAGAGTTGATTCCAAAGTGGATCTAAAAAACCCTGCTCCACTAGGCTTTCAAGACTGTGGCCTCAGTTGTCTCTCTTCAGAGGTGACTGAGTGGGCTCAAGCCTTTCCGTAAGCAGATGAACGTATTAACTGTGTGTAACCCACCCACCCCCAGGGACTCTTCTGGAAAATAAAGTCTGTACTCAAACTCAAAACAATGTCACCCTCCCACTGCCAGCCCACTCTTCTCTCCCAGATCTCTACACCAGAATAGGAGACCAGAAGATACTTCTAACCATAGGAAAGAGTTGAGAGACAGCAACCCACCCCCTATACAAGCCACCTGCTCCTGAGTGATGAAGGTGAGGGATCACAACATAATTTACCAAAGAAATTCTTGTAAAATCACCTTTATTTCCCTCAAGGCCCTTGTGGGAGAAAGGGTTCTACAAGTTATGTGATTACGTTTGCACACTTGCTGTCAATTCTACAGATCATCACCTCCTTTGAAATGCATCATTGACCTGGTTCTGCTGTCAAGTTTACCATTTATTCAACATCATGTTAGGATTGTTATGGGGCATTCTTGTATCCTAGTGGGTAAGAGTATCACTGCCACACCAGAGGCACTCACTACGCATCCTGCTCCAAGGAAAAGATGGACAATCTCCATGGCGGTTTATTGGTGGAGGGTCAGGTCTGAGTTGGCTCCAACTTGACAGTACATAACAAAAGCAACAGTTAGGGAGCTCTGGAGGGCTGGCCTATAGGCAGATGCACTTTTAACCCAAAGGCCATACCTTTCCGAGGATGAGAATCCATTAGTGACTCCTTGGGAGGAAGATGAGCAGTCACTTCCTGTGCAATTTACAGCCTTGGAAACAGTGCTGGGTCAGCTATTGAGCTACTCCAAGGAGAGTGATTAGATATACATTTTCCTGGAGCATACGGC